CAAAGAAAAAAAAGTGAAAAAAAATGAAAAACATTAAAAATATAAGAAACGAGTGTCCTTGGGGCATTAATAAAAAATGTCAGGAAAGCAATTTTATTATAACATCTGTTCTTACCTTAACTCTACTCTAATTTTTACTCTAACTCTAATTAAAAAGTCAAAAACATATAACTTAGACAAACTCCTTTTTGATACAGTTATAATTACAGGTTATATAAATATCAATAATGTAACTTATGCAGTATGTAGATCATTATTAAATTTGTGCTATAGATTTGATGAGTTCAATTTTATTTGATATAATTGATATAATTATAACTTCTTTTGAAGGTCATTTAAAGCTACCCTGTAGCTTACCTATAGCATATGAATTTAGCCAATTAGATAAAAGAAGCTGGTGTAATATGCAATATTTTGTTGAGCTTCCTATCTATTATTTGTTAAAAAGATATATAAAGCTCAAATTCTGGCAATATGGTTATTACAAAACTAGAATAATGAGTAGTTTTCATTTAACTATCGAATTGATCTGAGAGCTACCTGGTTATACTTTAATCATAACTCTAGAATAATAAGTAGTCTTCATTTAACCATCGAATTGATCAGAGAGCCACCTGGTTATACTTTAATCATAACTAAAAACCTATTATTAATAATACAAACTTCAAGCTTAATCAACTCAAATTCATCAAAATCAAAATTCTACTTAATGAATTGCCAATCTACCACCTTCACTATTCATGATATCCTAAAATTTTTCTAAATATTAATTGCTTCTACTATAATTTACCAGATTCACCTTTATATTTGTATAGTTGCCAAAACCCTAAATTAATCTATTAAATTATTATTAATACAACTACACAATATCTCAGATTAGTAGATCTAGATCTTTCAAATAATCAGCTAGAGAAATTTATTCAAAAATTCACAATTATAAAGTATTTTAGCTATTTGCTTTTCAACTATATTCACACTATTTGAATATTATACTCAAAGGTTTAATCTCTATATTTTTAATTAAAACTATCCAAAATTATGATATCTCTTACAAGACTACCTCCCAAGCTGTAATCAATATATTACTTAAAATAAATGAACAATTATATAAATAATTATAGAAACCTTATTGTTCTAACTTCTCTAACTGGAGAAAGCTTAATAAACTTAACTATCTATATTCTAACAATTCAAGTCCTTCTACACAACCTGAATCTTTTAGTCTTAAACAACAATCTGACTCTTCAAGTTCAACACAATTTACTATCTTAACTCAATGTATTTATACAATATATACTTATTTCTGTCTATATGGAGAACCAAATCAATTACATATTTATCCTAATATTAGTCTACTTGTTGGCCAGGCTAGGAGAAAATTCGATACTTAGTCTGTTCACTATATCAAATACAGTACTCAAATTAATTATATTTCCTCTATTATAATCTAGGCGAGCCAAAGACCACTTTAGTAATATTAATAACAAAACTACATGCACAAAGAATCTAAGAATCATATGAACTCTGCATATTTGAAGCACAAAATCATAATATAAATACTATCGTACTGCAGTAGCCTGAAACCCACAATTTCACTATAATGATCATATGCAAGAAATTTGCCCAAGCTAAGTCCACTATATTGAAGCACTAAACAATGATTATATGAAAGCAAAGCTTCCATCAAATAATTTCATTGAAGCAAAAGACACTTATCTGATTCAGTATAATAGCTGTCAAGATAATATTTCTTGTTAGATAAGATGTGTGGCTATAAATGATAAAAGCATATGAATTAATAGAAGAGTTAATGTAAGAATGAGTAAATTAATAAGTAAGGAATGATAATAGTACAAAAGCCTTCAATCAACTTACCTTCTTTATGTCTTCTTCCATTCTGTTAAATGTTTCAATGAAAATAGCTGTGAGAAAGGGGTTAGAATTGGGTCAAAAAATGTTATATAGTATGAGTTCAATGACAATTCAATAAAAAAAGATATGAAAAGTGTTCAATTTTAATCTTTTCTTGATCTGTAAATTTGTTATAAATAAGAGGTCAAATTTCTCTTGTCAAAAATAGAATAAACTCAGTGCATATACAATCTGCCCTATTCAATAAAGTTGTTAATAAAAAGCTCTGTAATAAACACAGGCTACAATGTTCATTTAAAAGTGCACCAAATTACTTACCTAATGATACTCAGTAGATGCCTTTGTCCTGTGCCAAATCAAAATCTACCTTACATAACTACTAAGTATTGTTAATTACCATGCTCTAGTATAAACACCAAATTACTATTTTTATTCTCTCTTGTTAGAGGTGTTGTTCTGGTCTATTCACCTGTGACATATTTAGTAATAACTGTAAGATAGAACATTCCTGTTTCAAAGCTCAAGACTGTGAAATTAAATGCTAAAAAGACAGTTAGATCATAAATTTCCAAGCAGCTAGACTGTAATTTGACAATATGACTATAAAGACCAAATTGAATTACTATGATACTAAACCTTGCTAATTTTTTGTGAAATTGTTTTTTGTATAAATTGAGTTTTATGTTAAATTTTTGTTGTTTGTTGTTGTGAACCAATATATCAAGTTTGAAACAACATTGTATTAAATTTTTCTTTTTGAACTAACAAACTGTTTCATCAATATTTTCTTATTTTTTTCCCTCTATCATTATACATCATTGTATAGTATCTTATTTTCGAACCTCAAGTACCAGCCAGTTGCTTTTATATAAAAAAAAAAGAAAAAAAAAAGAAAAAAAGCATCAGTAAAGTTGAACAAGTACTTTAACAAAAAAAAAAAATAATAATAATATATATACAAACAGTTTCAAGAAACCACCAAAAAAGGTCTAGTGTACATATTGTATATTTGTCCTACTATGAGGAGGCAAGATAAAAGTGTACCATGATCCTCAGAACACTTATATCAAAACAACTCGAATCAGTTCAAAAAATAGTAGATGAAAATTTTAATAAACCTCAAATGCTAAACAGATCCCCAAGTCACTAGAACTTACAATGGAATTTCTAGAGAAAATTTTAAAGAATGACAATAAAAAAGAAGAAATCGAATACCCACTCCTATATATCTGACTAGTCTCAACTGCAAGAATAATAAGCCTGCTTCTAGCACTCACTGTATTTGCTGCTCTAAAAGTCATTTCCGTAAAGCCTGCAAAAAAAGACCTGCTATAGCAGATGCAGACTTGGTTTTAGAAAAGAAATATTAACCTAGAGCCTCTCCTCCAAAGGTTTGCTGCTAGATATGATGCTATCATACAAAAATAGGCATCAACAAGAACAAAAGAAATCATCTATAAACCTCTGAAAGAAAATAGCATTGAAAAGAATAAGGAATAGTATTTAAAATCTGTCAAAATAGAATTGAAGTTAAAGAGGATGAAAATAATGAAATTAGGATTGAAAAGAATCCCTCAAGCCTATAATCAAAACTAACAAATATGAGCTATGAACCAAATATTCTTAATAATCATCTCTGCTATGAATTAGAGTTGTATAAGAATCTTTAACATAATCTCAAAAGTCCTATAGTTCATCCCACTGATACTAAAAATAATTTTGGTAATGAAATCGACCTTGAACTCTACTATCCAAATGGAATTGGTATTGAAAAGAATGAACACAATGCATTCATTTATTACCAAAGTCTGCAAATATAGGTATTGCTAATAGAACATGTCTGATTGAATGTGGCTATAAGAAAAAAACTGAAGCTAATATGATAGAAGTAGATGCCATCAGTAAATCAGAATCAAATGAATTGGATAAGGAAGTATGAACTCACTTACAAGGCTTGAAGATCTTAACAATAATGAAACTGATAACAAAAGTGAGTGTGAAATGTTAGTTGGTGATAACAGTAGGAAAAAAAAGTAAATAGTTCACTACCTGAAAGACTCCTGAAAAAGAAGTATTGCATTGCGAATATGAAATATGGTTAAGAAAAGTTGTTGAGTTCTAAATAACCATATGCAAAATAAAAGAATCTACTGAAAATGAACTTGCTAAAAGAACACTTATAGGGATCAATGCTGAAAAGATGAAGCTTCAGAAGGAATACAAAAGGTTCTGAAGGTGACAAATCAGATAGACAATTCAACCCTGGTATATCTTGTTGCTAGATTAAAAGCCATCTTGAAAATGTGGACTTTTACTCTAAATGATCTTGTGATCTTAATGCTATCTCCGGTCAAACTATATGAAAATCTGCTGAAATGGGTATAAAACTAAAGAGTCTGCCACTGAACATATATATCATAGAAATCGAGAGCTCTAATAAAAATAGAAAAGGAATAAAGTTAGTAAAAACAACCAAAAATCAGCTCATCACAATAAACCTAACCAAAAAAAGATCCTTTGTATCTACCATTATGGAACATTGTATAAATATTTGATTCTGAAGGAACCTGTAGAATAGATTTAACTTTAATCTGACTTACATAATAAAAAAAACCTTCTTTTCTTATCTTTTGGATTGTATGTAGATACACATGACAGTTGTATATAGAGTTAAGGGGTGTATGACAAGGGTAGTTTGTTGGCTCTTTGTTTTGAACATGGATGTGTTTTTTTTATTTATGTTTTTTTTTTGTGTCTTTTTTTTGTATTGAGATTAAGTTTTTAGTTTTTAGTTTATTTTTTTATTTTATTTTAGTGTTAGTATATAGAATTTTCATTAGTAGTTAGAAAAAAAAATAAAAATCATCTGTAGAACTGTGCCTTAGAAAGAAAATATGTAATTCAGTGATCACAAAGAATGATGTATTGAATTTTTCATGGAATATAAAAAATTAAGATAGGAAGAATTGTTATTGGCAAAACTATGTACACAAAGAATCTAAGAATCATGCAGAACTCTGCACATTGAGAGCATAAAATTATTATACAAACACCATTGTACTGCAGTACCCAAGAACTCACAATTTCACTATATAATTATATGCAAAAAACCTGTCCAAGCCAAGTCTATTGTATTAAAGCACTAAACAACAATTATATAAAAGCAAAGCCCCATTAAACAATTCCATTGAAGTAAAAAAACTTATCTAATTCAGTATAACAGCTGTCAAAGTAATATTACCTTGTTGGGTAAGGTGTGTAGCTATGAACGATAAAAGTATATGAATCGATGAAAGAGTCAATGAAAAAATGAGTAAATTAATAGGTAAAGAATGATAACAATGCAAAAGCCTTTATTCAACTTATCTTCTTTTGCTTTCTTTCTATTCTATTGATCATTTCAATAAAAATAACTATGAGAAAGGGGTTGTAATTGGGTTAAAAAGGGTTATATAATATAAGTTCAATAATGATTCAATGAAAAAAGATGGGAAAAGCATTCGATCTTGATCTTTTTCTTGACCTGTAAATTTGTTATAAATAAAATGTCAAATTTCTCTTGTCAAAAGTAGAATTGATCCAATATATATACAATCTGCTCTATTTGATAAAGTTATTAATAAAATGCCTTATAATAAACCCAGGTTATAATATTCATTTAAAAGTGCACTGAATTACTTATCTAACAATACTCAGTAGACACCTTTAACCTGTACCATATCAAAATCCACCTCATATTTCTACTGAGTATTGTTAGTCGATCATACTCTAGTATAAATGCCAAATTACTGTTTTACTTTCTCTTGTTGAAGTGTGTTCTAGTTGATTTGCCTCTGACAGTAGGTTTAGATTGCAGATAAATTAGGCTAAGCTTTTATTCTTGCTATATAGTTTTATTTTTTTTGTATTTTTATGAATTATCATAATATTCACATTAGTTGATTATACAATTAGTAGTTGTTATTACCTAATAAAATTAATAATAAAGATATGAGCAAGGCCTCACCTTAATACCAAAAAAAAAAAGAAAAAAATATAGAAAAAGAAAACACTTCAGAAGAGAAAAAGAAACATGATAATTGCACAAGAAGAAGAAAGCAAATATATAATAAAGAGGTAACATCAATAAGAGCAGGAAAATACAAAAAAAGAACACTCTCAGCAGAAAAAAAAGTACAAATGCAAAACAGAAATGATAGCAGAAAAGATGAATAAAAATGAAGAAATAGAAGAAGAAGCTATAACAAAACAAGAAGAACAAGAAAAACAAGAAGCTTAAGTTACAAACATTCTCTAATAGAAAGAAGTCTAGCAGCAAAAATAAATAAATATCATACAATGCTACAAGAAATTATATAATACTTAGAAAAGCTGAGTAAGCAACTAAAGGCTACTCAATGCTTCTAAATTTAGAAGTTTCAGTTGTATTAAATAAATATAGCAAAGAATCTAGGCCTTTTTTGCAAACAAATCTTCAAGAAAACATCAACAAAAAAATATAATCCTTTGCTTCTTAGACAATATAGGCAGCAGAAAAAGAAAATAAATTATGAAAAGAGGATTACTAGATTGAGATAAGAACAAAAATATTATATATACTACAAGCAGAGATTATATTAACAAAGCAAAAGAACTTAATATTGTAATATATAATATTAATAGCATTAAAAGCAATATTTACAAACTAGAGTTTGCATTTGAATAAGCATTAGACAACAAGATAGATATTTTGGAAATTTTAGAAACAAACATTTTAAAAATTAAAGAAGAATGGCTGTCTATTATACAATCCAAATACAGAGGTTTTTGAGTAAACTCAGATTGTAACAAAAAGAAAGACTTTAGAGTTGGTCTATTAGTAAGCAAACAATAGAAAACTATATAAGAAAGTAAACAGAATTAGCAAATATATAATCTTCATAAGTTTGATGCTTAAATATCTGGAAATTATATTAATTATGCTTTATATACCACTAAATAATAAGCAAAAAAAGAAAAAGATTCAAAAAACAATTATCAAGAAATTTATTAACAGATCTTTCAGATCACAAATAATAATTATGAGAGATTTTAATAGTATAGTAGATCCAGAGCTAAATAGAATACAAAACATTGAAAAGAAAGAATTAAAGAAAGACTTTTTTTTAAATTGATTGTAAAAACAAGAATTTCAAAACACTTTTAAAACAATATATCTTAAAGCCAGAAAATTTAATTGGCCAAATAAAGAGACAAGTACAAGGATTGATCAGATTTGAGTGTCAGACAAGCTATTCTATAGATTGTTTGACACAGAGATACAAAAAATAAACATTTATACAAATAGTAACAATGTAGTAGTAATAATCAGAATTGATTTAAGTTATCTAAAAGCAACCAAAGTGCAGCAGAATGCAGAAGAAAAAATACACAAAAATAGTTTTTTTTATAAAAAAGTGACAAAAAAAAACTAAAAAAATTATAAAAAGTAAATAAATAGTTTATTTAGTAAAAGCATAAATATACAAATTCTTTTAAAAAAGCATATCAACATGAAAAAAGAGCAATGGAGCTAGACAAATGACATAAGTAATAAAATTCTCACTGCAGCAAAATATAACCTACCAAAGAAGAGGATTTGCAATTCAATGCAAAGTAAAAGAAGAAAATCAAAAGAGTCAAGGTTATTATATACTATAATGCAAATAGGAAAATAGATAAGCATAAAAAAGAAAAATATCAAATTAGATCTTATATATGGATAGAACTCTTTCCGTCAATCACTTATACAAAACTTAACTAAAAATTCGCCAGTATAAAATCCTTAATAACTCAATATTTTATTAAGATAAC